GAGTGTGTGAGTGTGTGTGTGTGTGTGTGTGTGTGTGTGTGTGAGAGAGAGAGTGTGTGTGTGTGTGTGTGTGTGTGTGAGAGAGAGAGAGAGTGTGTGTGTGTGTGTGTGTGTGTGTGTGTGTGTGTGTGTGTGTGTGTGTGTGTTGTTGATTGGCACTATATATCAGCACTAGCCAGGCATTAATCTATCTGTGACACTGTTGCTTGTGTTGGATTTGGAAATGTTTTGTTAAAAAGCAACAAAGTGGTTGTTGGTTACATCACTGAATGCAGTAACAGTGAGAGGTACATCTATTCTCTTCATGTATGTCCAGATATGTGCTTCTTGTGTATCTAGTGTCAGTGGCGAGAGCTTGGCTATTTACAGATCCTGTCCTCAGTCACACTTTTATGGAACTAGTGACACACATTACTGTATACAGCTGATCAGCATTTGTTAAAGGAATAGTTCACCCACAAATAAACATTTGCTGAAATTGTGCTCACCCTCAGATCATCCCAGATTAGGAGGAATCCTGGATGAGAACATAATCAGCACATTTTCAGTTTTAGGTGAACAATTCCTTTAAAGCAAAGCCTTCCCTTTCAGTGCACGCTTCATATGTTTTCAGTTTAGAAAGTAATGCATGATTTCAGCATATCATTTCTTGTGTTTTGATTTTAGCTGTCAGATGAATGTTTTTCTTGGTTTTCAGAAGATGGGTCTCCCATCGGTTATGGTGCTTCCGCTGCTGATCGTGGTTTTTGCTGGAGTTTACTATGTTTACACTGAGGTCATGCGCTTCATGTCCAAGTCCATGCTGCGGAACAAAGTGGTGGTGATCACAGACGCCGTGTCCGGAACGGGAAGTGGTAATGCTTTATTAATGCTCTATTAATTACTTCTTCGCCACAAAATTGAACAATAAAACTTGGCTCATTTTATAGTTCTGATACTACCACTCTCTCAAAAATAATGGTCCCAACAGGCCGTTTTCGCAGTGACTCCATAGAAGAACTATTTTTCTGTGTTTTTAACAGTTTTTAAAAGAACAATTTTTTCTTAAAGAACTTTTTGAAGAAACAGTGAAAAGGTTCCATGGAAGTCGGAGGTTCTTCATGGATCCATATGCAGTTGTGGTCAAAATTTAACATACACTTTGCAGTATCTGCCAAATGTTAGTTATTTTAATCATTAAAAGCACTTGCTACTAATATGATCAAAAATCACTTCATTACACAGAAGACACTAATTTTTCTCCATATTTACATATCTTTAATACAACATAAACTGCATAAGATATTCTTGTTCAAAGCTTTTTATGCTTTTTTTGTCATAAAGTGATACTTGTAGCAATTTGATCTGTTAAACATCATATACTGTCATACTTTTTGCTAATGTTATTAATGGAAGTGTTACCAAGGCTTGTTAGCTTGTGAGTGAGCGTGTTCTGTACAGTTCAGTGTGTGATAGTGTTGGGTTGGGTTTGGTGAAAGGATCTGTTCATCTGTACAGAGGACAAAGAGCAGTCAGCGGGAGGCTGAAAGAAAGCAGAGAGCATAAAGACTGATCAACCGTGAGCTGTGTGCTTTGCGGGAGTTTCTGTGTTGTGATGTTGTGATTGGGTCATCAGACACTTCTGTTGTCTTTACAGGAATGCGACTCTGAAAGGAACGAGCAGATAACACCTTTATCGTGCTTTACTGAGGACAGACTGCATTTCATCACAGTATCTGCCCGTCCTCCATTCTCTCTGCCACTGTACTCTGCAAAAATTTACGTAAAAATACGTTTATTTTCACAATCAAAATTGCACAAGATATTAAGTCTTGCTTTATGAAAATTGTATCAAAAAAGAAGTGAGTTTTAGCTTTAAAAAAATAAAAAAATATCTGTCAATAAGGTCAGAAAAATAAACTGGTTTTCAATGGAAGCCCGTTTGCTGCACAGGATAACAAATACAAAAGGTAATTATGACTTTTTATCTTGCAGTTTCGACTATATATATATATATATAGACACACACACTGTTGAAACGTTTGGGATCAGAACGATTTTGAATGTTTTTTAAAGGAGTTTCTTATGCTCAAATACAGGAAAAATTGTAATATTGTGAAATATTATTATAATGTAAAACAGCTGTTTTCTATGTAAATCTCTGTTAAACTGTAATGTATTTCTGTGATGCACAGCTGTATTTTCAGCATCATTCCTCCAGTCTTCAGTGTCACATGATCTTCAGAAATCAGTATAATATGCTGATTATTATCAATGTTGAAAACAGTTGTGCTGCACAATATTTTTTTGTAACCCGTGATACTTTTTTTCAGGATTTGTTGATGAATAAAAAGTTAAAAAGAAGAGCATTTATTTAAAATTGCGGGCCGAGCTGGGATAAGCTTGAATCTCTGTATGAGTCTCTGTGCAGTGGATCAGACCCCAACAAAGCGAGTATGAGCTGCCATCATTAGACCTACAGTCCTAAAATCAGACAGAAACCATCAGCAAGCCTGTCTCGTGTTCACTTTGATCACACACTCTCTGCACTTTCAGCACTTTCATAGCTCAGGCCATGTCTGTGTGTCTCTCCTCTGTCGTGAACAATGGCAGGATTTCCTCCTGACAGCCCAACGTCCACTAGTCTCTTAATGCCGGTCCTCTGCTGGGTTTCAAACAACATGTTGACTTCATTTACTTTATCATAATCATACTGCCATAAGTAATGGTTACATTTTTTTAAATGCTATTAAAATGCAAAAACCTATTAAATCATCGCTTCAGTTTATAAAAAAGACAGAAACCATCAGCAAGCCTGTCTCGTGTTCACTTTGATCACACGCTCTCTGCACTTTCAGCACTTTCATAGCTCAGGCCATGTCTGTGTGTCTCTCCTCTGTCGTGAACAATGGCAGGATTTCCTCCTGACAGCCCAACGTCCACTAGTCTCTTAATGCCGGTCCTCTGCTGGGTTTCAGACAACATGTTGACTTCATTTACTTTATCATAATCATACTGCCATAAGTAATGGTTACATTTTTTAAAATGCTATTAAAATGCAAAAACCTATTAAATCATCGCTTCAGTTTATAAAAAGCATTAATCATTAAAAGCACTCAGTACTAATATGATCTAAGATCTCTTCATTACACAGCAGAACATCATTGTTCTCCAGTAAAAATAGCTAAATGTCTTTAGTTACTTAAGAAGCAAAGCTGCATAAGATATTGATGTTTTAAACAGCTGTACACAAATTTACATTTAATACATGTATTTATTTATTTAAACCTCCCTAAAATGTTGTACGGTGGTGTACATCCATCCATCCATCCATGCTCAAGGAGAGGAAGCTGTCATGCTCAAACCTCCAAATGTTTGGTATCTCTGAGAAGCCCTATACATGTATTTATTTATTTAAACCTCCCTAAAATGTTGTACGGTGGTGTACATCCATCCATCCATCCATCCATGCTCAAGGAGAGGAAGCTGTCATGCTCAAACCTCCAAATGTTTGGTATCTCTGAGAAGCCCTGTTATTATGGATTATGGACTCAATGTATTTGAGTTAAAAATGTCTTAATGCTGGATGTGTTTCAGCTTTTGTCTTCTCCAGATGTTAACTGATGGACTGGAGTGCTGTGGATTATTGTGATGTTTTTATCAGCTGTTTGGACTCTCATTCTGACGGCACCCATTCACATTTCGCAAACGAGCAAATACTCAAACGAGGTATTAAAAACGACTCTGCATGTGAACATTGGATAAAGCCAGGTTCAAATGATTTTTTTGTTATATTAGAGTTAAAGGATTTTCCAGAGGGGATTTTGGATTTCTCTTTTTATCACTCCGTAAATCTGAAAATACTGTCAACAGGCAGGAAACAAATAAATTTTCACCATGTTTTTTTTAGGAGAAAAATTGTTCTAAAAATCAGTGTGAATGAAATATGAACAAACTCCTCAGTAAAAGCCTTCAGAATACAGATAGGAATAAAACTGTAAAGCTAAAATCTACATGTGCAAATAGATAAAGTGTAATAATGTAAACGAACACTTAAATGTGTATTTCGGATGTTTTCCTTCCACTAGTCTGAAAGAAGACATGATATGGAAGCAAAATAGACTGAAATCTCCAAACTGACAAATGCATGAAAAACACTGGTTTTGCCTGTATAGTCTCTTGCCTTCTGATCAATGTGTTTTCCAGACGCTGCGTCCAAACACGCGGTCCAGGCGTTCTTTGACTGTCTGAGAGCTGAGGTGGAGGAGTACGGCATCTCCGTCAGCACCATCAGCCTCACCTTCATTAACGCAGTAGCAGAGAACGGCGCTCCCTCCCAAACACCACCCATCATCCCCCCCTGGGCCTGTGAGTAACCCGACCGGCACTGAGTCACAGCAATGCTCAATTATACAGTCAAGTATTAGTGTGCCTACATGTTTATTTTGTGCAGTAAAAATGCAGGCATACACCCTCGGATACATCTGTTTCATGCTACACACCTTGCTGAAAATGAACAGTAATTGCATCACACACACCTTCTGTGTGCTAGTCTCTGTCAGTTTCACACCTTTGCTCTGGTCCAGAAACCTAGTGAGAAACCTGCCTGTGTAGACAAGACTTTAAGGCATCAGACTGAAGGTGCACTACAGAGTGCTGCCAGATTGGGCAGTTAGACGCTTGGTTTTGACAGAAGTATGATTCATAAATTTGAATTGAAGTATGCATGAAAAAAATGTGTGTGTGTGTGTGTGTGTATACATAGAGAGAAAAAGAGAATATATATATATATAGCCTATATTTGAAGAAAATGTCACTCAGTCACTTAATCAAGCAGTTAAAGTATTTGTAAAAATTGGACAATTTTTACAAATTTGTACAAAAATAACATACCCCCACAGATGTGTGTGTATGTTATTTTTTCGCCTTCCATTTTTATGGTTTTCGGATTTTTTTTTTCAATGGCAAGTTTTGACCAATCAACAGCCTGATCCCTGATCCCAGAATTCCCTGTGAAAACTCAACTCTGATAGGTTCTGTTTAAAAAGCATTTCAATCAAACAGTTCTATTGAAAAATAGCTGGTAGTAACCAACCTGAGTATTACTGTCTTTTTATGCTTATTAGGGTATTGAATGCTTAGTTTAGCAGCATGCTAAAATCAAACTCTATTCTATTTGTATGAAGCGCAGGTGTCTTGTCTACGTAGCGTGTTCCAAATGTGTCACTTATATGGTTCCTTAGAAGGCAGCAGCCTATGTAGGCGATAAATAGAAGAGCTGCTCACTAGAGCCACTGACTGAAGTCTTGTTTCAGATATCTGTAGTAAGCTGCACACTCACGGCGTGAGCCCCAGCAGTCTGGCGCAGGAGATGGTGAGGACGGTGAACCGGCAGAATCCAGAGGTCCTCCTGGCTCATCCCGTGCCGAGGGTCGCGCTCTACATCCGCTCGCTGCTGCCCCGCTCCTTCTTCACTGTGGTGGGCGGCGTGAAGGACGGAGCCGTGGCCGTGGCCGAGCCGCTGAAATAGAGCAGAGACGCCAGCGTTCGTATTATAACTAATAGATAGCACCATAATTCCCCAGTTGATTCATCACAGTACATTGAGACATCTATTACAAGTTTTCTGAAATGGTATGTTTAAATATGCAAATTTGGCATTTTGCATGCATTTCCAGAACTGAAATCTGAAGATTTCATATAAAGCCAAGACCAAAATTCTTGCATGATTTTGTTGATATATTAGAGGGGATATATGTGTCCCTGCAGCACAAAAGCAGACTGAAGTCGCAATAGCCAACAATACATTGTAAAGTTTGGTATGTAAGAGAAAAAGCTGTTTGAAGACACAGATTGGAATTGAAATGACGCAAATAGAAAAAGTGCAATAAAACAAACACATAAATGTGTATTTCGGATGTTTTCTTTCCACTAGTCTGAATGAAGACATGATATGGAAGCAAAACAGACCAAAATCTCAAAACTGACCAGTGCATGAAAAACACCGTATAGTGTCTCGCCCTTAAAACGATTGCTTTTCGATCTGTTTAGAAATGGGATGCTTTTATTTCTAATGACAGATTAATGTGACATTCTTCACAAAAGCCAGTCATGTTGTGAAATGATCTTTAATCATAGTTAAAGCTCATTCTCATTCAACATACTGACGTCCTTTCTACAGATAACAGCTACTGCCTGGTCTCTGAATGCTTTAAATGTAAGTTTTAATGTAATACCAATCTTAAAGTAATACTATTTAAACCCTCGTAGTGTTTTATTGTGTCCGTATGCACTCGTGTCTCCAGTGCATGTGTTTTCTCCAGCCATCAAGCACTATATGGACATTATGATGGCCCTCACTATCAGCACTAGAGGCCACATCTGATGAAACAGCAGCACTATTGCTCCTGAAGATGGCAGTAAGCACAAACCCAAGACATGCTGTTGACTGACATACAGCAGAAAACAGTGTGCAAACATGTGCTCGATGAGGTGTGCCGTTATTCACTGAGTCAGCCTTTCATAAAGCATATGAATAATACATTCAATACATGTCTGTTATATAATTAAACTACTGATGTTACTGTCACACATGAGGGATATCGTAAACACAAAAAATAGGGATGTCATTGGATTGTGATATTATAGACAGTCAAGAGTTACATTTAACCTATAATAGTCTATTTAATGTGTGCCATATAGTGAGACAGCATGCAGTGCTATCGGGGCATGTTGTCACAAAAGGCCAGCACGAGTTCAATAATTCTGAGCAAGACTGGTGGAAACAAAAAGCTGTTTATTTATTTTTTTGTTAATATATGTGCCTATCCAGAAATTACCCAGCTAACAGTGAACGTTCTCACAACTTTCACTAATGTTTTTAATCGTTATATAAATGTTAGGACAAAACGTTCTTAAAGTGACGCTTGTGGAATGAAAATAAAGTTAGTAGCACGTCGTAAGAAACAGTTTTGTAAGCTTTAACGAATGTTCTGATCACGACATTTCAATGTTTTAGAAACATTTCAAAACAATGTTTCCACAACGTTTTTATAACCTAAATTTGTTACGCGAGTATATTTCAAACATAAACTCACCCTGAGACCAGTTATCAACATTATCTTCTAAGAATGTTTCAGTAATGCTTCATTTAGTGATGAAAACGTTATTTTGGAATGTTCAAAACATGCCCTTTTTTTTGTTTTGTTTTTTACTTTTTAGTTTTTTGGTTATGTACATGATTAGTGAAAATTCCACGTAATAATTTTTCTAATTTTCTTTCAATTTTTAAGAATGTTGTTTTTTTATGGGAGTGTTAATTTCAAATGTTCTGAAACAAATAGTAACATTTAAAAAATTACACAAACATCCAGTTAGATCCAACTAAAATGTTTCAGAAAAACGTTCCACGAACAATGCATAATGTGCTAATGTTTTGAGAACTTTATAAAATACCAGATAACTTTGAACGTTACTGAAGGAATGTTTGTTCATAACTTTGAGAAAACCTTGCCAGAACAGTCTCCTCTTATCTGGGGAAATATTCACTGGAGTGAAAGACGTGACAACTTGCCCCCTCCAGGCTTCATCCAGTTCCTGCAGTGAGTGTGTTTGAGGTTGTGCGCGGTTACTGATGTGTGTGTGTGTGTGTTTCTCTGCAGCAGTGCTGTGAGCAGACACTGGCAAAGATGAGCAATATACAGCTGAGCTGATTTGTGTAATGCTGTAATCCTGCATGAGCGCTGATAGTGAGCGAGAGCCTCGGGCTCAGGCACCTGACAGCACACACCTCACATTCTAATGAAGACAGTTATGTCTGTTATGTTGTTATGTTAATGCCAGCATCAGAAGGTCCTTGACACCGAGTTAAAGTCCAGCTGGCCTCCGCGAGTCTTTATCAGACGGGTCACTCGCCCCACGGGGGTCTGACCCTGCTTCATACTGACAGCTGAATGAATCATGCTAATATATGAGCATTAACATTCGAAATCAGCACAGTCTGTGCTGCAGAATAAAAGATCATCTCTGTTGTGTTCGGTGTATGATTAGCGTGATCCATGCATTTGAATGTTGGGTTAGTGTGAATGTACAGTGCTCTCTTCCACCTTCAATACCACGACTGAGGGGCCCTTGAGCAAGGCACCGAACCCCCAACTGCTCCCCGGGCGCCGCAGCATAAATGGCTGCCCACTGCTCCGGGTGTGTGTGTTCACTGCTGTGTGTGTGCACTTTGGATGGGATAAATTCAGAGCACTAATTCTGAGTATGGGTCACCATACTTGGCCACATGTCACGTCACGTCACTTTAAAAAAAATGCTGGGTTCTATTTAACCCAGCATTTTTTAGAGTGTGCGCATTTGTCTTATTCTTTTTTGATTTTTAAAGTGAAACAGTGAAACACTTTTTAAACAATTGTTTCACATTGTAACAAAGTACATGTGCAAGACATAATAGATTTTTATTTTTATAAATTCTATAGAATTTTACAACTTTGTTGCCATGATAATGCAATGCCATAAACCGTATAAAAGCGAGGATATACACAACAATTTGAATTGATTTTCATAAAAGAGTAAATGTAAAAGTCCTGAGCAAATTGGTGATTTATTTCCATTGTAAGATTTATTCAGATTTATTTTATTTTATTATTTTTAAAAAGTCAGATATAGTGGTAACATAGTTTTCAATAGTCTCATGTGTTAACATTAGTTAATGCATTATCTAACACGAACTAACGATAAGCAATGTATTTTGTTACAGCGTTTGTTAATCTTGGTTAATGTTAGTTCATAAAAATATATTGTTAGTTCACCGTGCATGTTAACGGATACTACATTTGTTTCAAAATGCATTAGTAAATGTTGAAATGAATATTATGAAATGCTGTAGAAGTATTGTTTTTCATTAATGTGCATGCAGGACTGGAGTTTCTTAGCCTCGTTCGTCTCGTATGACTGATGCATGCAAACACATCCCGCAGGATGCTTTATCTCAGATTAATCTTGAGGATAGAGTTTGAATTCATCTGGCATTAAACCCTTACTTTAAAGGATACTTGGCTGGATTTATTTACCTCCTTTCATTTTTCATTTCCGAGAAAAGTCACTGTATGTTGGTCATTTAAAGATTTTATTTAGCAGAAATGAAAGGCTTTACATGAATCTGTCCTTCTGTAAGAAGCATTGTTTAGGATTTCGGATGACGGAGGGATTCACGTGACCGCAGATGCTATAGAGGAAGTCTTTGCTGCTCATGCATGCTGCTGTCATTAGACTTGTATTAATGATGGTCTGCTAATTAGCGGCATTAATTACACTAATGGGCAGACATTATGACACACATGGCGGATAGCTTAATCGTTTCACCCAAACGGAGGGAATCTGCTGCCTATATTCAGTCTTTCATTTCAGCAACACAATTAAATGGACTTAAATTATACTATCTTTATGAATCTCTTTTATTAGAAGTTGTATTTCATTGCTTCCTCACCTTCCTGAACCAGATGTAAGACACACGTCATCTGAAAACAGACCTGAGCTGCAGCTGCAACAACATGACTGCAAACGCTGTGCTTCTTTTCCAAACAGTTCAATAAACAAAAACATAAAACATTACCAATGTCTTTGTCTATTTTTGCTCAGCCCATGAAAATAGCTCCAAAAGAATCCAACAGGAAAAAATACACAGTAGTGTTGTTTAATATCTGAATGAATCGGTGTTTTAAAACACTGAATCGGTTGAGTGAATGATTCAATGACTCACTCATAAAGTCATCTGTCACCAACTACTGGACTGTATATTAACAAGAAAAATCAGACATGCATTGCCATACAAACAGTGAAATTCCAAGTAGAATACAAGGGCTGGAACTGTTGTGTAATCATAAATACTTCTTATTAACCAAAATGTTTAACCAAAACATGTCTCCTTGTCTTTTTCCTCTACTTTTCATAAACTTCTGTTCAGGTTATTGCTCTACTCTTGCTTAAGCTTGAAATGTTGTATCCCAGTAAAGCAATTATGAGTCTAAAGTAAAAATATATTCACAGATATTTTTACTTTAGACTCATAATTGCTTTTTTTCATATGAATCTTTATATGCCTTGGATAAAAGTGTTTGCTAAATGATTAAATGTTCATGTATAAGGTAAACTGGAAGCATAAGCACTGATGTTAAACGCTCTCTCTTTCCCCTGAAGAGTCATGCATGGAGAGAGTCATTACACACAGACCGAAAACCACAGCAAAACTGCGGGGAGACATGTATGAGTCCCTGATAAAGATAAAACATTAACCGATGGACCAGAGCAGTCACAGTCCAGGTAATGAAGTCATCACATGTTTTCAAGCCCCAAAACTTTACATTGTAGAACTAGAACTAGACATAAATCCTTAAAATGGTTCTCTCGGACATCTGGATGATCAAACACGTGATGGGATGGGACTGTTTTCTTATCACCTGCTATATTGTTCCAGCAGCTGGCTGTAGGCCGCATATATGACACTATATGGCTTGTCACATTGTACAATACAGTCTCATTGGAGCAAAGCTTCATATGATGTCTAGGACAGAATAAGTGTTTTAGGACATAATACATGCATTTATATTACATGCATCCATCGTACAGTGTATCTCTATACATATAAGCTAAACATATACTGCTCATTGTTTATTATCACACTTTTAATATTTTTGGACAACAGTAAAGTCTTCAAAACTTTTAAACATTTAGGTATAATAATTAAGTAATTATGTAGGGATGTTTTTTAAACTGTATTAAAGGACTATTCCAGCTCACAGGGAACGTTCTCA